AAATTTCACGACGAGAATGCAAGTTAAATTGTACTCACATGATGTCACAGTCAAGAGCAGCTTTGATTGACTTCAGTGCTTTTTCATTGTCATCAGGAATAACTAGGTCGAGAGATCGATCGTGACTGTAGTTCATTTGATTTTGTCTAGGGAATTGTTTAGACAATCCAAGTTCTTCTTTGAGGAAGTAAAGTGGTTCGAAAAAGAAAGAAGTGTTTTCCCTTGAAGCTATGAGCCTCGAAATGAAACTTGATCCAGATCTTGCCTCTGCCACGACAAGTACACGCTTATTCGCACTGTTCCTCGTGACCGGTACTGCTTGTGTCGTCGTTGAGACCGGAATAAGTCTAATTTTGCAAAGAGAAACCACATTGAATTTTCTCGCAATTTTAAATGAAAGAACGTGCTTTCTAAGTGCTGGTGAATCACCTTTGCTCACGAGTCTCAAAAGTTTGCAACGTGGTGAATGCAAAAAGTAACAACAGCATTACACTCGAAACGACAGCCAGGCGTTTCGGAGTCACCTTGACTCGATAAAAACGTAAGAAATGCATAATGAAAGAATCGAATTCTGGAAAGTGGAAGGAAGATTTTAATGTCCGTAATTTTTTCTGCAGATGAAAAAAGCGCACAAGTGAATTTCTGAACGAAGCGCTCAACAGCGAGAAAAAGTACAATAGCAAGTACTGAACGACGAACAGTGCTTCATCATGGTTTGTTTACCGCCGAAGTTTGGCAAGAAAATAGGGCAGCTGTTTTTTTTATTATTTAGCAGGTCTCCATCTATTATGGGGGGTGAAGTACTACTTACTTGCTATAATTTAGTGGGTCACATGGCATCTAATTCTTTCTACGTATGAAACCCTCAGACGTTAACGCTCGACATGATCTAGTTTTACCGATTACATATTCTGGATGGCCGATTATTATGAAAAAGAAATAAATTATTTGTCTCCTCTTTTTCGCTTCATTTTTTTTCGTCCAGCAAACCAAACAACCTCAACGTGTTACTGAAGTATTTCCTTACAACGGACTCGAAGATCCGTGCAATTATCGTACTTGGCCATTAAAGAGGGTTAAACTAAATGCTGGAAACGTATCTTAGCAAAAATGTACCAAGTCTCGAATCCCCTCGATCTAGAAATGTTTTAGTAAGATATCTTTATGCACAGAAAAATCAGGACCAACTTTGGAAAGTAGAAAACCTGATTATTGTATTAGAAATGTTTGAGCCTAATAACCTTTATGGTTACAGTATTTTTTAGAGGCTGTGTAACACACACAGACAAATTTTTATTTTTTCTTCATGTCCAAACTATTGTGTTGCAACTTGCACTATATATAGGCAACCATTTATTATGTATTAAATGGCACATATACGTCTGGGCACAAATGCTTGCGATATTTTCGGTGGAAGTTGTGTGATGTGAGTTTTTAATATCGATCAAGTTAGAAAGGATAATTATTAAAATGTTCTGCATTTCCTATTCCTAATCATTTTGTTAGTATCACGTAGATATATAATTATTTTTTTCTTCGAGGCAGGCTGGATTTTGACAAATGACAAAATCAGACTTCAACAGGATCAGTACTGCTGGCTGCAGAAGTGCTCCACAGCGGAAATGTCACCCATAAAAATAAATGACCGAAGATAAACAATATCTACATTTTAAGTTACGTAGGCTAATTCGAAAGACTTTGAGATGGCGTGCCAATGTAGCTATTAAGGAGTGTTTTTAGCTGAGGTAGACCTTAAAAATTTAATTGTGATTCAGTTCTGAAGACAAGCGAATCTCGCAGGTTGTCAGCCATTCAGATGACTCAAAGGTATGCAAACCTTGAATCATTTTAAAGACAATCGCCTGAACCATATATGCAGTATCAAGTCAAGAAAAGCAATCAGTTCTGAAGACAAGCGAATCTCGCAGGTTGTCAGCCATTCAGATGACTCAAAGGTATGCAAACCTTGAATCATTTTAAAGACAATCGCCTGAACCATATATGCAGTATCAAGTCAAGAAAAGCATAAATAGCCACGTTCTTTCAGTCAATTTCTTGAAACGCGCGTGCTGGTAACACCGACACAACACAATAAAATTAGACAAATAAATTTAAATTTAAACTGAATGACGTTCATTAATGGAACCTAATTATAAAGTCATGCGCATCACTTTTTCTCGATTCGTTCAAGGGATAACGCAGTCGAAAATAAGTTTCCTCAATTTATCAGTGTTGATACTGACTTCAGTTTGTCACAACCTTCAGTCTGGTTATTTATGCACAGATCAAATGAAACCTCAAGTTTTTTGATTGATTTTGCCTTTATTTACGAAATATAACGATCATAAAAAGTCCCATTTTATGTAAGTTTTCGAAGTATGTTCGAACTCTACTAAGCTGGTGGACTTAGACAAGTCGTCAGTAAAGGAACGCGGTTACCATTGGATCGAAGGAATTCAAATCACGATACGTAGAAAAATACTTCGGGATATTCTCTGAATTTTCGCTTTTGTTTGAAATGTGACTGCCAAGGCTTTCCAACACTGCTTCGGTCACTTTCCAATGCAAGAAGTCATACATGCGCTCAAGTTCTTTTTGCGGGTTTGCAGCGACATCTTCATACCGAACTATTAAAAGTCTTCAAAGGGAAGTCTTGAGTCAGTAGCAGTGCCGCGCGTACGTGATTTAAAAATACAATAACTCACTTATCTCTTGCGTATTTTTGCAGAACCTCATAATCGAGGAAGACTCTGGAACACAATCCATCCATGTCAAACGAAAATTTTTCGGATGGGGGCTGTTGTAGCCGAGAATTGTAGACGCCCCTCGGATCCCTGATGAGGAATATTATCCCCTGTTCAGAATGCAAATGGATGTCTCGAAAATTGAGGATTTAAAAGGAAAACATGAAGTTCTGACCACCATACGTACAACATCGTTCGTGGGATGATTCACCCAGCTGAGGAAATCATCTGTAACTAACAGTCTGATGACTTTGATAACGATTGGATTCTGTGATTGGCATGTTTTCGAGAAAGGTCGAACATATTTCTGAAACCACGTCGCCGCTGATCTGCCTTGCTTCCTCACCAAGGACCGAAAATACCTAGACATTTGATAAGTTAAGATCATTTCATAAAGTTTTCAAGTATTCTTTATTTTGTTCAGAAAACAGGAAAATTGAACAATACTTCAGCTTCTGGAAATTCGAGAAACAGGCAGCCAGAAGACCGTTTTTTGAGCTTCGAACTCACCCGATATCGCAATTGAAGGCTGCTTCAAATGTTTCGATGGTCTCATCAAGAGTGATTTGGTTAACTGGCAATGACGTTTCAAACAATGGAAGATTATGTTCCCTTTTCTCTGAAATGGTGTATCGATGGAACCAAAGTGGTTCGAACAAGTACGAGACATTTTCACCAAATTCCAACATGCTTCCCACAAATGATGATCCGGATCGTCCTGTGGCAACAACCAACACTCTTTGAGTTGGCAACTTCGGAGAAAAGCTCCATATTCTGTCAAGGAAAGAAGAGCTTCTAACCTCTTGATTTTCACCTCACCATTATGAAGAGTTTATTCAAGCATCAATAGAATATATTTCAAGGAAAACTAAGAATCACTTCATCAGAAGTGCACATGCTGAATTTTCACTGAATGAAAGTTTGAAAAAAATTCGACATGAACGACGCGTTCTACTTTCTGAAGAGTTTTCTAGAAATGCTCACCTTGATGCAAATGAATTTTTCCATTCTGTAACAACCGTCAGAATAAAAGCAGCACTGATTGAAATTATCACAAATAATTTCACACGCATTTTCAACGAGCGTGATTTGAGTGAATGAACATCAGGAAGTCACTTTCAATTACAGGCATAAAGTCTCAATAGTTTCGACATTGTTTGGAGAAATCGACGCGTCGAAATAAATTCATGAGTACAGTATTTTAACGAGAAATCAGCCAAGGAAGTCATTCATATTTACACAGAAATTATCACGCTTTCCTGATAACTATAAGCGACACAGTTTCCACCCAATTAACGATTGTGACACCCTCAGCATAACATTTTGACATGTGTTACAGCGGAACATTTTTACTGACTTTTATCAAGGGAGGATCGGTGTTATCAGACTCTCCCTTTTTCCACATAAGAGACATGGTGCTCGCCAATTATCACATTCTTTTCAATTCTTTATTTGTGCATAAATTACAAAGGAACGCTCAATTATCTCGATTATTAGTGAAGTCTGTTCCGATAACCCTGCAAAAATAAAAATAAAAATATACAAATTGATAAAGATAAACCCACATAACTGAGCTGATAAAAACCATGAAAAGAACACAGGAAAAAAAACAAGCAACGAACAGTTGCAGAAATAAAGTTGAGCTCATAAAAATCAAGGCCAACCGGAAGTGGGCCATGGCACAGGAAGGGTTTGCAGGCATATTAGTGAGTGGTATGAAATTAATCAAAGATTTCAATCTGAAGTTTAACCCCGGTCATGAGGAAACTTCATCAATTTTCCTTCGGCTTTTGGAGTGATGGGTTGCATTTTTATTTTTTTTAAAGAAGTTTTTGGTGTTTAGCATTTTTTAGTCTTGCGTTGAAATGAGAACTAGTTCTGCTGAAAAACATTAAATTTAAATTTAAGTCCTTCTTAGTTGCGAAAAAGCCAACTACCTGGCTGATTGCCATGTTTCTTTCCTTTTTTATTTTTTCAGTTTATCTTTTCTTTTTTTTCCAGGAGCAGTGGGAAAATTATTGTATACATATGCACTGTTACACTCTATTTATGATTTGTATCCAGGCATACTTTTAAAGCTCGATACGGTTCATTTTTGGAACAGTTGTAAAAATAACCTGAATGTTCTCTTCCTGCACAATCGAATGCAGAAATAATCTCTCTGATGCCAAGTTATGTGGTTATTATGTGGTTGATAATTCTCTCTGCCATCAGCGCTTGTTTTACAAACAGCAAGATACCTCCTAAACATTAGCAAGGATGATTTGACGCCCGTTTATTATAGCAAGTATAATTTCATCACTTTAGGTGGATATAAAGGCCTTTTTGTGAGTTATTGAAGAAAATCTGCGCAGAAAATGCTTCCGAACACTTTTGATCAACTTAAATTATGGAACCACGACATTTGGTGGACAAAGCGTGAAAGAAACATCAAAATTTCGTCTCAAATGTCATCGGTTGTACTGTACAGTCTCTGTCATCCTTCTGTTACATGAGAGGAGTATAATTTTCCAGCGAAGGTGAGATCCATTTTGTTTTTGTTTTTTTGTTTTTTTGAACGGAGGAAGAAAAACTTTTCAAGATGAAGCCCTTTGAATTTGTTTGTTTTCCCACCTTCTCTTAACGATGCTTTAGCAACCCGCAAGTTGAAAAGCTGCAACTCCTTCGAACTTTTTCTTTCACGTTTACTAAAGGACCGGTTTACTAAAGGTGCATAAACTTCGTGTCATTCCCTGGAAAGAGGGTCGGAAAACTGTTGACAACGACGACAACGAGCGCACGAACGAGCTCCATTTGTCGAAGTTCTCCCCGACAGCACTGACACCTTTCATCCTGTACCCATGCGATGGAAACTTACAATGAATTCAACTTTCAATAAGAACTTCCTTTTCCTAGCTGTTGCTATTCGCAAGTTGCTTCACCGCTGCTTTCACGAATTCTTTCGTCTCTCCATTTCAGAGGAGGATTCTGGAAGCACAGAAAATGCTTCCGAACACTTTTGATCAACTTAAATTATGGAACCACGACATTTGGTGGACAAAGCGTGAAAGAAACATCAAAATTTCGTCTCAAATGTCATCGGTTGTACTGTACAGTCTCTGTCGTCCTTCTGTTACATGAGAGGAGTATAATTTTCCAGCGAAGGTGAGATCCGTTTTTTTTTTTTTGAACGGAGGAAGAAAAACTTTTCAAGATGAAGCCCTTCGAATTTGTTTGTTTTCCCCCCTTCTCTTAACGATGCTTTAGCAACCCGCAAGTTGAAAAGCTGCAACTCCTTCGAACTTTTTCTTTCACGTATAAATAAGACCGGTTTACTAAAGGTGCATAAACTTCGTGTTATTCCCTGGAAAGAGGGTCGGAAAACTGTTGACAACGACGACAACGAGCGCATGAACGAGCTCCATTTGTCGAAGTTCTCCCCGACAGCACTGACACCTTTCATCCTGTACCCATGCGATCGAAACTTACAATGAATTCAACTTTCAATAAGAACTTCCTTTTCCTAGCTGTTGCTATTCGCAAGTTGCTTCACCGCTGCTTTCACGAATTCTTTCGTCTCTCCATTTCAGAGGAGGATTCTGGAAGCCGGTTATTGATCGTAAAACATGTGAAAATTGTTCAAAATTTCCATTCGAAATATGTGAAGCATCAACAATTTAATTTGAGTAACCGTCAGTTTGTTTTCAGAATGTGGCTGAAAATCGCAAAACACAGCGATTTTTGGTTACATTGAATGTGTATGTTTAAAAATCTGACGAATCTTATACGTATTTCATAATTTTCTGCTGATCTATGAGTTATGCGAGGCAACGTTCGAGTCACAAATATTTTATACATCTCTTGTGTCGTCGACATGCTTCATCATCATCATATGAAAAACTCGATTTAACTTCAAGAGTCAACCCACGGTATATTACATGTATAAAAATGTAAGAAGTCGTTTTCAAAGCGTGAAAGGATTTCACGCATTGAAAAACGTTACTTAGAAGCTGATGCGAATTCGAAATTCCTTTCAAGTGCTTTTTAAATCAACAGAGATTTTTAAAGAACTCTCCAGTATCACATATATCGTGCGTGAAATTCATGCATCCAATAGTTTCAATTAAATCCTCCGAATGGCGTAGAAGAATCCAAGCATGTACTGTATCAAAATAAATTCTATTGCTTTCGAAAACCTACTTTCTTCATTCTCAAGAGTTGAAAAATAAAATAAAAATCAAATGGAAATTTTTGGATTAAATATGAACATTTTAATTTCCTTGGTTTTGGAAAAAATTATTAATGATTTAAAGAAATTCATGCGTTGACTTATATCCCGAATTCAATGACTTCAGAGGCATGAAGAAAAAATTCTGGGCTTCGCGTTTGTTTGGGCGTATTTTGATACAAATACAGTACTGTATTGCACTGTGTGTCACATCACTTCCTCTAAAAAAATTTCATAATCAGTTGGATATTTTCAAATATACGCATATTATGGCGCATTACTTGAATGAGGCGTGTTCATGAAATTTTTAAGCTGGATAGAAAAATCAAAAGCGTGTTGGAATTCAGCCGCCAGATTCGCTGATATAGTCACCTTCATGCATAAACCAGGTCAAGCAGTATACATAAACCAACGCAACAACGCAAAAAAAAAAAAAGTTGCGTAAACGAGAGTTCTTGGTTGAAACATCCATTTTGAGGCACAGATGAGGTCATCATGCAAATCAATGTAGGCTTCGAGGGACACACACCTTCCGAAATGCATCGCGGGAAGCTGGGTTTTGCTTCTGGGGAGAGAAACGCCGCAAACACGTGGAGTAGGATTGAGTGGCTTTATATCTACTGTCTTTACTAGCGGCACGAGACACGAGGCGGCAGTAATAAGGACGGATTGGCTCATGAATATTTAGAAGAAATTTGATACCCGTGTGTTCCGGCGCAGCTACGATATTCCTGCGGGATTTCAACTCCTGCTATAATCCCTTCACCGCGGCCCATATGTAGGCAGCTTCCTGAAGGCACTATATAGACTTGTCCATGACTTTTCGTCCGCCCTTGCACTCATATTTTTTTTCCTCTTTCCGGAAATCAATTCGGTGTTCTTGTCACTTGAGAGAACATACCTGTCACCGTTTTGGATTTATGTCGAGAGCATTCCAAAGCTGCATTTACATGATTTTAAACTACTGTATATCGTCAGCTAAAAGCTCAGAAAAGACGAGCTCTCTTTTCGGACGCCTTCGAAAGTAAAAGTTCGCCCACTGAAATTTTTAATTATCACTGCATATCCCATTAATGCTGTGTGGATTTTTTTGGAAAGGTGCTTTGAAATAGAAGCTATATTTTTGCATCTGCTCTCATTTTAACTCCGCCTACTGTTAATGCTTTCATCTGAATTACTGTACTTCAATGAGTTTGTACTCATGCATAAGATGATTTATCGTCGCTCTATACTTGCAAAACATAGTACATTTCATACGAAGTCTGAAAATATGGCAGATCAACCAATTGAGTTGTGACTTTACTGGGTGAGTTTACAAACGAATTCCGAATTCAAGTATCGGTTTTGCATTCGAGAAAGCTTATTCTTTGAGGTGATCACTGGTGAAAATTGTGTTTGAACCACACTGTTGAAATTCCTCTGATTGAGGAAGAAAAAAATGATTCCAATGCACTCTGGAGCTCTTTGTGAAAAAATCAAATTTGTTCTTCAAGGTTTTCTTACTGGCAAGCAAGTGGGCGAAGGGAAATGAAATTATGAGATTGCGCGGCAATCAAATGACCCTGATATCTTTCGAAAGGTGGTAGAATGAACTTCAAGTTTCTGAGGAGGTATTTTCAACCGCTTGGGAGATATGCGAACTATAATTTTTTTCTTTTTTTTCATGCTAACCCTGTTGTACAAAAGATGTTGCTCTGCGCCAAGAAATCATCGCACCTCGCACGCTTTTGCAGCAACGCCGGAAACACGATTCTCGTTTCCGCATCCGGCGACCAGATGAGCCCACGACTCCTGCAGCTAGAGAGACGTGACTGGACTCATCGGCTCACTTTGATTACTACATTCGTCAGCTCACGCAGTTCCCCAATTATACCGCATTAGCTTTAAGCCAGTTGCATGAGGGAAACGGCTTTCGCGAA